ATAACCATTATGCCATCTGCTGGTCCCTGTTTTATTTATTTATTTATTCATTATTTTAAGGTTTGTCCATAGGGTTCATGTTCTCACCAGAAAGAGACAGAAAGAAATTCAGAAGTCATTGTCATCTTCCAGGTGGGATTACCATGCTGGAATCCCTTTTACTCCATTCTCCATTTGGAATTTTGTGCACACATACATATGCACCTGGCATGATCTTTCAAGGCACCAGGTCCATGGCTAAAAACATCCCCAGCCATAAAGGAATCTAGTACCGTAACTACCATGTCACTTGCTGGCCCCCATAAATACACGTGTGTGTGTGTGTGTTTGTGTGTGTGTGTGTTTGTGTGTATGGTGGATGTACATATATACACACCATAAAGAGGCATGGTGGTTAAGGTGCTGGGCTTCCACATAGCTGACCTTGGTTCAAATACCAGACCCAGAGGCTTCAAAATTACACCAGGCGTTTGTATGAGCATGTGCATGCCCAAAATCCTGAGAAGATAATGTAGGACACAGGATTGAGATGTGACCCACCCCCCCTCACCCCAGGATGTTTTCTCACTTTCCCTCTCACTCTTTTTCTGTCTCTTTCCAGTGAACACATATTCCCTATGCCAAAAAAACTTATTATTCACGGTCATTTATATTTCCTTTCCTTTGCAATATTTCCCTTCCAATTCATAATTTATACAACTTTGCTTAGCACACAGTCATTCCATTGTGTGTTCCTTCTTGGTTAAAATGAGTCTCATTTTGGGGCCAGCTAGTGGCATAGTGGTTATGTTGATAGACTCCCCCATGACCAACAGTTGCAGTTTGAGTCCCAGACCCAGCAACTTGAAAATCATGCTGGGAACATGTACCCGCATGCCTTCCTAGAAGGAGAATGGAAAATATTTTGTGGCATGGCCGTCTTGCCTTGACGATGATTTCTCACTTTATCTCTCCCTGGCTCTCTCTGTTTCTCTCTGATGAGCACATGCACCCTATGGCAAAAACCTAAATAAGAGAAAAAAAAAAAAGAACCAGATCACCAAAAATTCCACCGCCATTCATCCGTTCCTTTGGGAGGACCGCTCACGGCTCAGCAGCACACCGCTTGTGCCTTGGATCTCTGTTCCGGAGGTCGATGATGCTCTCTCGGGATGATAGGGAGTGGTGACCGGCATGGGTACGCTCCCCACCCCCAGTCCACAACTGAAATAATCCACGGGCAGAGGCTGTCTGCGGTAAGTAAGAGTCTCCTTTTAACCATTTCATTGTGGAATCATTTAGGAACTGAATAAGTTTCATTTGCTATGATGTGATCATTTCTTTAATATTACACCAACATCACAACATCTATATCCTGCTTGGACTTCTAAATAGTTAAGTATGCCTACACATTAAGCAATTCAGTTTTAATGAGGAATTGCCACAATATTAATTTTAAAAACATATACACTACTTTTTTATAAAATTGACAGGATACACAAAAAAATAAAAAAGTATATGAAGCCTAAAAAGAAACAAACCACATATGTCTGATGCTCAGAGACACAGAGGTTACTTCAGCACCTGACCGTCTCTAACCAGGAGGGGAATTCATGAATGTTATTCAACCTTCCTGTGCCTAAGCTTGCCTTGCCTGTAAAATAAAAATAAAGTGCTTACTTCATAGAATGTTTGTAAAGGTCATGTGTTAAACACTAATGCAGTACTACTTATGTTTTTGTTAAATATAGTGTAGCATACAAATGTTTTTCTTTTTATAGAAAAACTCTTTGAACAAGAAAAATGCGTTTAATACAACTAAATTATGGGTTGGAAACCACAGTCAGTGGACAAAGAGGAGCTGCCATTGCCCCAACAACACAGGGCTCACGTGCTCATGCAGGATCCTCTCACTGAGTGGAAAATCTGCAGCTGGAAAATCTACAAATGACCTCCAGTGACATGGCAATGGGAATGATCTTCTTATCTCAGACTGTGATTGGGTTGCTGGGTAATTTTTTCCTCCTTTACCATTATAGTGTTCTTTATTTCACCAGAGGCACACTGAGGTCCACAGACCTCGTGGTCAAGCACTTGACAGTAGCCAACATTTTGATCTTTCTCTCTAAAGGGATTCTGCAGACACTTTCTGCTTTGGGGGTCAACTATTTCCTTGGTAATATTGGATGCCAACTCGTTTTCTATGTCCACAGAGTGGGCAGAGGTGTGTCTCTTGGCAGCACCTGCCTCTTGAGTATCTTCCAGGCCTTCACCATCAGCCCCAGAAACTCCAGGTGGGCAGAGCTGAAACTACACACTTCTCAATACGTTGGACTGTCCCACTCCCTGATCCTGTGCTGGATGGTAAACATGGTGATGAATAGCATCATTCCCATGTATGTAACTGGAAAGTGGGACAGCAAAAACCATACTACAAAGAAGGATTTTGTATTCTGTTCTGGTGTAGGTCATAATATAATTTCATATTCATTAGCTGTCATATTGTTTTCATCCTATGATGTTCTGTGTTTGGGACTCATGATCTGGGCCTGCAGCTCCATGGTTTTCATCCTGTACAGACACAGGCAGCGGGTCCAACACATTCACAGAACCAACCTGTCCTCAAGATCCTCCCCCGAGTCCAGAGTCACTGAAAGCATCCTTGTCCTGTTGAGCACCTTTATATCATTTTACACGCTCTCCTACGTATTTACATTATGGGTTACTCTGTTTAGTAATCATAGTAAGTGGCTAGTGAACATCTCTGCACTAATCACTGCTTGTTTTCCTACAGTCAGCCCCTTTGTTCTCATGAGCCGAGACCCCAGAATACCGAGGCCCAGCTCTGCCTGCTGTGAGTAGAACACACAGCTCCCTAAGCTTATCAAATTATGTCACGAATTATGGGTTTTCTCTTATATTTTGTGATGTGCAGACATTTATATTTTCCATGCAGAAATTTACACAACACCATCAATGACCATGTAACAGAACATGTGAAGAACAGAAGTCTCTTTGGAGGTATTAAGGGGAGGAAATAAATATTTTTAAAAATACTATTATAGTTTCTATTTGTTAAAAGTTTCAATGGAACATGTAAGAGGCTAAGATCAATTTTAAAAAATTAGGTCTCAAATAGTATTGGGGAAAAATAAATTTTTTCTTTTCTTTGTTTTTTTTTGTTTGTTTGTTTGTTTGTTTGTTTTGCTACGGGATGCTTATGCTCATAGAGAGGGAAAGTGAGAAACCATCCCCCATGAAAGAAGGGCATGCAGCAATCCGTTCTTCTCGATTCTCTTGGGATTTTGAACATGAACATACACATTTTTGACATGTTTGCAAGCCACTGCGTCTGAAACTCAAACCGCATAGTCACCCATATGGGCTCCAGCCACCTTGACTTCCTAGCCACCTGCTGGCCCAAGAGAAAACACAAATTTTATCGGATTATGTAACTTGAAACCAATTGATTAAAAATGCTTTTGAATTGCCTGGGAAAAGGAGTATAAGAACATTTTAATGACATGGAAAAGATTGAGTGCTGATTATTCAAGAACATGTGAAGAAAATAACAGTGGCTCTGCAGTAAGAGGCCTGAGATGAAGCTTGGGGGAAATCATGTGCCAGAGACTGGCAGGATATGACAGACCAGACTTGGCTATTTTACCTGAAATTTTAAAAAGTAAAAGCACCTTTCTCTTCTTCTTTTGCTTTAGGGTGAATGTGGTCTGCCCACAGGAGACAGACAGAGGAAAAGAGAAAATGAGAAAACACCCCTAACAGGTCTCCGCCTAGGGGGAATGGCCACGTAATTACTTCTCTTCCATTCTCCTATCAGGATTTTGGGAATACACACACACATACATTCTCAGTGTGTGTGTGTGTGTGTGTATGTGTGTGTTTCAGAGGTTTTTTTGCTATAGGGCGTGTGCACTCGCCAGAAAGACAGAGAGAGACAGAGAGATAGAAAGCGAGAAATCACTCCCCCAGGGGGCATGGCCATTCTGCATTCACTTCTCCTCCATTCTCCTCTCGGGATCTTGGGCACGCACGCACATGCATCGGGTGTGTGTTTAAGCCACCGGGTCCAGGACTCGAACCACGGTTGGCTACATGGGAGTTCAGCGACATAGCCATTACGTTAACTGCTGGTCCCTTAGTGTGTTTTTCTAGCTACCAGGCCCAAGACTCAAACCACACAGTTGACCAAGTGGAATCTAGCTGTCTTTACCTACACAACATCTTCTGGCCTCAAAAATCATTTGGAATATCTACCTTTCTATTTCTTTTTCTTTACTTTCTTTGTTTAAAAAAACTTTTTTTGCAGGAGGATTTTAGTGTTATTCAATATTTTTAATGTAAAAATGGATGGAATGACCTGTGTGGGGCCAAGTGAGCACAAGAATTATTAAAATGTTCTAATGAAAATTTCAGTAAGAGCTGATAAACATGAAAGTCATAAATGAAATCCACTGGTGTTTGGAACCAAACATGCTATTGGTGTAAGCCACTACCATGATGTTTTGATTACTGTGACTTTATAACGTATTTTGAAAGTGGTAGTGTGATGTATCTAGCTTGGATTTTTTTTTTCCTTAAGATTCCTTTGGCTATTTGGGTCTTTTGTGGTTCCATACAAATTTTATAGGTGTTTTTCTCTTTCTGTAAAATTTACATTTCAATTTGGATATGGATTGCATTGAGTCTGTAGATTGCTTTTTGTTGTATAGACATTTTAATGATATTAAATTTTCCAATCCATGAACATGTGCTAACAAGCATTTCATTCCATTATGTCCTTATTTTCTTTCATCATTCTTTATTATATTTGTCCATAAATAAGCCTCTTTGGTTAAATTTACTCTTAAGTATTTTTAAATGCTATATTGACAATGGAATTGTTTCTTAATTTTTTTTTCAGATAATTCATTGTTAATGTATTAAAATGACACTGTTTTGTAAGTTAATTTTCTATTTAATAAATTTACTGATTTTGCTTGTCTGTAATAATTTTTATTGTTATTTGTTTGTTTCATGATGTCTTTAAGGATTTTTTTTTTTTTGGAGAGGTTTTTTTTTTTTTTGATAGGGC